CGATACAACTTATTCTGTTGAGATATTTTCTATACAATTTCCTTGGCTAAAATTTTCCGGCTATAGTTTTGTTTGTTCCATTTTTCTTTATTTTTTATCAAGAAAATTAAACCAAAAAATTTGGCTGAAAATTTCAGTCGAGAAAATTCTATAGAAACGGTGTTTTACGGACATTGTACAGAAAAATGATGTTCGTCACTCGGCCCAAAACAACTTTTCTGACTCCTGTGATGGCGTCACGGACGAAAAAATTTAATAGAAAAACCTATCGAATTCGTTAGAAAATTCTATTGAATTTCTATTGAACTGTTCTATTAGTTTTTGGCCGATTCTATTGAAATGTTCAATAGAAAATATTCAGTAGAAAAAGTCAATAGAAGTCAATTTTTCTATATAACTTATTCTATTGAGATATTTTCTATAGACTTTCCTCGGCTCAAATTTTCTAAGTTATTTCGTTTGATTTTTTGCTGAGAAGAAAAGAAAAATGGAATGAAAAAAAATTAGAAAATTTGAGTCGAGCAAATGCTATAGAAAATATATGAAAAGAATAAGTTATATAGAAAAATCGAATTCTGTCAACTTTTTCTATTGAATGTTTTCTATTGAACATGTCAATAGAATCAGCCAAAAACTAATAGAAAGTTTAATAGAAATTCAATAGAATTTTCCAACGAATTCGATGGGTTTTTCTATTAATTTTTTTTGTGCGTGGTTCCTCGATTTCGCCACGGTCTGCAATCCTCAGACTCGTCAGCAGATAGCTATTTCGGAAGTTATCATGCACAGAACGATTTTTCCAGAAACACGAAACATGCCGATTATGACCATAATGTCCCTCGTCACATAGCAATATTATCAACTGATTTGATAAGCATTATCACAAGGAATTGACGGTTTTGACGTCAAAAACAAGGTTTTGACGTCAAAAAAATTCAATTCAGTTACGAAGGCTTCGAGCTATTGAGGAAAACAAATTTTTGAGAAATTACTGTATCTCGGAAATTATTTGACGAAATGAACTGAAATTACGATCAGAAGTGCTCCAAAGTAATACCAATGATGGGACGAAATTTCAGATTGTTAGCTGCCACTTTAGTTCTTTTTCTGTGAAGATTTATAAAAATTTTCCGAAAAATTTGCACACATCCGGACATCATATCTTCATGCTTCATGAGATTCAACGTCATTTCCAAGGAAAATGAGAAAATCATCAAATCCAACGATTACAAAGTTTCCATTCGGAAGCAAAAAACTTGAAGATTAAGAGAAAACTTCAGCAAAAATGACTCAACAATGTACCGTAAACAGTAGAATCCATCCGATTTTTTTCCTTTTCCAAAAATCATAGATGAATAACAAAAATTTACTGTTTGTTCTCATTTTTTCCTCGAGTTCAAATGAGAAAAAAATTCTTGGATACAATTTCACTTTCTGATTACCTAGCTTTACACTAATTTTTGCTGTGATTTTTTTCTTCTTCAAAATACGTAAACTTCACTACATCTCGTACATTTTAAAATAAATTTTGAGAACAGATCCCGAGTGAAAATTCCATGTCTTGTTGCACCATACTTTACCATCTTCATTCAATGACCCTCCAATTACTTCAATAATTAGGTGATAATGAGTCCAAAATCATTGTTACGACATCCCATGGCCCAATCAAGCTTCGACGAGTTCGAAACTGGCACGACATTCCGTCCAATGTACCCCGATAAAACGACGAGCCCGGAGAAAGTAAAAAAAGTGCTGATTTGCAGCGGAAAAGTCTATTATGATCTAGTAGCCGCGAGGATCGAGCAGAAACTGGAGGATCAGATTGCAATAATCAGGATTGAGCAGATCTGTCCTTTCCCGTATGATTTAGTCGCCAAGGAGGTTTCAAGGTTCCCCAATGCCAAGGTGAGACGATCCAGTGAATGGATAGAATTGTTCTCTATCTCTATGATGACAGAATCGAGTATTTAACATACCAATGAGATATCACGTCACTGTTCCCTAGCAGATAATATCGATGAACAAGTAATTGTTCCAGTCGCTGTTAAATGAACGTTTCAAGATTATTCAATACTCTTTGCGCAGGAGTTTTTTACAATCAAAGCGAAAAATTCCAATTCTAGTTTCCTGTATACGTTATAACGAGAATCTATTAATGAGGAATTACGCAATTTCATCGTTTCGTAGACAATTCCAAACATTTCAAATCACTTTGAAAGACATTCAATAGCGTTGGTTACTTTGAAATTCATCATCGTGAATTGCAATTCGTTGTTTTATAGCTTTCCTATCATCAAATTTTTTGATTGAAGACTCAATAAAAGTTTTACGAGAAAGCCCTCTCATCAAAGTTCAATTTATAATAATATTTGTTTGCTGAGAAAATTTTGCGCCTTTTAGATCGAAGAAAATATTTATTCAAACATCTAGCAATCATTTCCTCAGTCGCGCCCGAAAGAAAGTCCTGCATCGAGTCAAAGAATCGGCTTGAATCGAGTCTGGGAATCGACTTTTCTTACACTGCGCGAAAAATATAATTCTTCTGACTATATTCCATCACCATCGAATTGTAGTCAAAAAGTCCTCAATAATTTTGCATGGGTTACGGTAACTATGGTCGGAGAAGTAATTACTACAATGGAATGTAGTCATTGCAACTATTTTACACTGAGAAAAAAATTTATTTGTGAAATAAATTTTCTTAGCACAAGTAAATATTTAACTGTCCCATACAAAACCTCCATTTGATTACTTGTGTCAAGAAAATTTTCTCTGTTTTTCTTGGGAGAAGTAAATTTTTCTCTCAGTGTATAGTTCTCCTCACGATAGATTTGTCGTGGTTACTTTTGAACTTTGGTTAGTTCAACTGCATTTTGTTTGCAAAAATTACGCTTGTGAAGTTACTATAATGTTATGTGCCGCATACAAAAAAAAATCGTATCCTTCACCAAAATGCCTCAACTATTTTCTTATTGTCAATCGAACTTCAAATCTTTCTCTCAGTGTATACTGCGAGCGGCGGCGGGAATCAAGTCTGACTCGGAGAGGTCCAATCGATAGAATTCGATTGGATTCAAATCGAAGAATTGATCTGATTCAGATCCCGTTTAATGCGATTCAATTCGACTCTTCGAGTTTCATTCAAATAGACTCTTCGACTTGATTTCGACCTATACTATATGCACTACAAGAGCAATTTCCTACTTGTTTGTAGATACCGCATTAGCGAAGTGGTAAAACGGTACAAGTCAATTTTGACTATTGACCAGTTTTTAATGAATATCTCGGAATCTAAGGGAGATAGCAAAATTTTTGTTATAACCTTTTTTGAGAGCTACAATAAATGTAATTACGAAATGTCGCTATCTCCTTTAGATTCGGAGATATTCTTCAAACACTCAACTGAGAGATAAGTCGACTTAAACCGTTTTACCACATCGCTACTGAATTATACCAGCTTAAATTTAAAAATGGTTCTGCATCTATATTGAGTTCGTATAACGTAATGAACCTCAAATGACATGTTCATTGATTATGCAAGTGTCAGAAGCAAGAAATGTCAGAAAATTTGCAATGAAAATGCCTCTTAGTGATTTCTCCTCAAATAATTCATAAATTCATACAATTGAATATTTCAACAGATATCAACAATCAACGCGTGTTTTACAACTCCAATAGAAGATGATGGCATTGCATTCTCTTCGATTCTAACGTGAACAAAAAAACATTTCATCGTTTTCTTTACAATCAATTTTCAGTCCATAATCATGAATTGCATCAATTTAAAATTTCCCCATTAAGGCCCGGGTGTACTATCTTTCGAACGTTATCTCGATGGTTTTTTTTCATCTTTCGTCATCTGAAATTGTTAATTAAGTCCTGCATCATGCAGAAGTTTTGAAAAATTATGAATGAATAATCAAAAAAAAGTAGAAAAAATTCTTACTTTTTTCAAAGAGCATTCTTAATTTATATTCTGAATAAGTTGAATAACAAGAAATTGAGAAATGTACCTGATTTACGGTGACAAATGACGGCTTGTCACCCAATATCATGCAGGGGGAAGACTGATTTCGTAAATTTTTTCCCGCACTACACAGAGACATTTATTACGAAAAAGACTCTTTGAAAAAAGTTGTAATATTTTGGAGAATTTTTTAATCACACTTTTATCACACAAAAATGGCAGATGACTGCATACCACTGTTTTGAAAATTGAGATACCTAGCTGTCACTTCCTATGAGGAGTTAGTGTTTTGTTATTCACCATGGAAAATGACAGCTAATAGATAATTCGCCACAGCGAATCAGATATTTGTAATTTCCATTTTTTTCAACTCATTCTGAATCTCAATTAAAAACGCTCTTTGAAAAAGTTGAGAAGTTTTTCTATTTTTTTTTATCATTCTATCATATTTTTTGGGAATTTCTACCTGATGCCACTCAATTGACAATTTTGTATTACGAAAGATAAAAAAATCTAGATAACATTCGAAAGGTAGTACAACCGGGCCTTAAAACAGTTTTTCAACAGATAATAAAATTGCCATGATTTCAACTTACCTATTATGTAATTTCATGACATCTACGGTGACGAAGTGAATAATAAAAATCCTTATAAATAATAGGTTTTACTAGACGGAAATGACAGTTTGATAAGAACTAAGCGACTCAGCATCGATTTTTTATTGATTTTTCGCAGATAATGTGGCTTCAGGAAGAGCACAAAAACCAAGGTGCCTACCACTATGTTCGCGATCGTCTCGCAACGGCCTTGAATGTCCCCTTGGAGCAAATAAGCTACGGTGGTAGACCCCCCTCAGCTGCTCCAGCAACAGGAAGCAAGATTATTTTTAAAGAGGAGTTCAACAACATGTTGAACGCCGCGATGAGCATTCTCTGATGAAATCATCAGGAAAAACCCACAGAGAATAGTCCCAGTTGATATAAAGAAATTTATAAAAAACGCTCGCAAATTTATCACCGCGGGTTTGACTCACCACGAGGCACAGGTATCTTCTGTGTTTGTTGAACCAACTGAGGGACGTGTCTTTCTGCATTAAACTCCCCTTACCACCCCAGATAGTCACTCAATCACATTAAGGAAGTTCACTGTACGATATTCTACATTAAATTCAATTATAAATAGAACATGACAAGTAGACTAATCTCTTTCCGGTAATTGTGAACTTATCGTGAGAATGAGTGATTTCGGGCCGAAATGTCGGAAGAGTTTTTTTTATCGGACATTTCCAAAACTTTGTTGAACTCAGTTCAACTTATTCATTTCCTTCTAACGTGAAGCAACACGTGTGAAAAAAATAATAGATCAACCTAGCGAATTCGCTAGACAATTCTGTTGGAATTATATTGAACTTTCTATTAGTTTTTGGCCGATTCTATTGAAATGTTCAATAGAAAATATTCTATAGAAAAAGTCAATAGAATTTGATGTTTTATACAACTGATTCTATTGAGATATTTTCTGTAGAATTTCCTCGGTTCAAATTTTCCGAGTTTTTTTAGTTTGATTTTCTTGATGGAAAGAAAAGAAAAATAGAATTAAAAGAGAAAAAACTTGGAAAATTTGAGCTAGAAAATTTTTCCTATCGTAAAAAGGAGAAAAGAAGTTGATCTCGAAACCGAAGCGCCAGTATACCTGAGGAAATGAGAAGGCACGTGCATAGCACGCGCCGATCTTGTATAGAAAATATAATCTCAATAGAATAAGAGCAGATCCACGCCAAATCAGCAGGACAAAAAAATCGACGCTGGGGATTTTCGTCTCAATTTTTTTCTGAAAAAATGGCGATCAGACAAAAATTTTGAAAATAAATTTTTTCAAAAATAGTAATAATTGGAAGAGTTTTGATTTTTGGAAAATTGCTAGTTTTTGTCAAGAATTTTTTTTTTTTCAAATTGACCCCAATATTTCTGCCGGCTTTCAAGCTATCAAATTGTTCTTTGGGGCACTCAAAGAACATGAAAAACCCTTCAGAATAAGACTTCATAGATAGCATTATCTTCAGTTTAACGGGGTTTATACCCGAATGCGCTTTTTTTTAATCGTTAATTACTCAAAAAGCTAATTTTTTTAATCTGAAAATTTCACCAAAAATTGTCAATAAAATGTCAAGAATTATGGCACCAATAAGAGTTTGTCTTTCGTCGCAGTTCGGGGGTTACTAATTGTTTCATTGAGACAAGTATTGAAGTATTTATTCATACAATTATCGCCCAAATAAGTGAATATTTTATTGAATATTAACAAATGGTGGATGTTAAATTGATTATATCTTCTATTATTCATGTTCAGTATGATATTTTGACTGAAAAATTATTATTTCTCCAATTACACAATGGAAATACATTTTCCGAAGAGCTTTCATTTCTTAGTAATCGAGAATTCAATTGAATTGACTCATTTTCAATTATTCAATTGAATACTCACTCATTTGGGGGAAAATTGCATAAATAATCGCAATTTCATGCAATCTTCTTCAATACTTGAAGATGATCATTGGGCGATCATTTTCAATACTTGTCCCACTGAAAAAAATAATAACCGCCGAACTACGGCAAAAAACAAACTTATTGGCGCCAAAACTCCTTTCATTTTATTGACAATTTTTGCTGACAATTATAGATTTTTAAAAAATTAGCTTTTTTAGTAATTAACGATTGAAAAAAAAATTTTTCTCGTATAAACCCCGTTAAACTGACGATAATGCATTATATGACGTCTCATTTTGAAGGGTTTCCCATGTTCTTTGAGTGTGCCAAATGGTGATTTAAGAGCTTTAATCCCTGCAGAAATATTGTCGCCAATTTGGAAAAGAAAAGTTTTTTTCCGCAAAAACTAACCATTTTCAAAAATTACAACTCCCTCAATTGTCAATATTTTGCCATTTTTCTTTTTTCAATCTGTTTGTCTAATCCCCATCTTTTCATTTAAAAAATTAGAAAAAAAATACCAGCATCAACTTTTTTGGCCTGCTCCTTGGACGGGGATTACACCTCCCCCACGCCAAAAACCACATTTTCTTATTCCTTCCATCCCAAAAATTCGTCAATAGAAATGCAATAAAATAGTAATAGTAGTTCTAAATCATTAAACAACGCGTGTCACTTCCAATACTTTAAACCCCCACTGGATACTTGATACTGAACACTTTGTTAATGATGGAATCACCTCCATGACTTCAAGAGAAAATGGCATTTTTTTATTTCAAATTTTTCAATCTCACCAAAACTCTCCTCACATATTTCTCTATAATCACTCGTTCTCGAGATAAATTCATAACTAACACCAATTTTCAAATCAGACTTATGGTTTACCACTTTCAGTGTCAAAATTAGTCGTAAGGTTTGTTTTTTTAATTTAGTAATTTTCCCGGGGCTTGGATGTCGGCTGGAAACGTACCATCAGCTTTGAAGCAATGAATACTACTGAGAGAATCAACGGAGCGTTAATGATTGTCGCAACACCAACGCACAACATTAACACGCGTATGACTGCATCCTAATGAGTTATTCGCGCTTGGAAAATACGAAGCATTTATTACCTCGTGAGATACAATAACCATGTACTCTTTATTTATTGTCCCTGAAGCAGTATTTTTCAAATATGCAATGTGGTTTCGAATAATACGTAATAGACAAAGAAAGTCCAGTGGAATATGTTAATAATCGTTGAATGATTTTCATTAGATTCAAGGATTTGTTTAATCGATTAGAAGATAGAATTTATCTTTTATAAATCTATTTTTCATTATTGGAGTCACTCTCGACGAATACCTTTTGACTATTTTATCAATTTTTCGCTTCATGAATGATTAATTCTGAAAGTAATTGTTGCTTCTAAATGGAAGTGTAACAATTGGTATATTATATAGATTCCCTTAAATGCCTTGGAGTTATGCTTCAGTTTAACACTAGAAAATATTCAGTAAAAATTACGGAACTCACAGAAAATTTAAGTGACGGTATCGTAATTTTTCACAGGAGAGTCAGATAAAAATTACGGAACGCTTTTAATTCCGGAATTACGGAAAAGATACGTAATTTTTATTGAATATTTCTCTCCGTGAAGACTCTTGAGAACGAGAAATGCATCTATGCTAAGATAGGAGTAAATTAACTAGGAAAACTGCAATACGAATCGGTATTTTTTATAAAATTTTATACTATTGATCGAGTCGTTGAGTAATAGCGCTTTTTTCAGACTTTTTCCTTCATGTGTTCTAAGAACAGGTGATTTGTCGATATGGATTTTACTCCGAAATCATTGAGATAAAATTCGACTGGGTTGTAGGTCGCTCGCTCCCATCGCCGGTGAATTGGAGTGGGTGTGACTCATTACGGGTTGAACCAATAACTTCCCGACCAATTGTCTTTCCTTCATTCATTAGAATTCGATTTTTCTATACAATGCAATTATTCAATAACAATACAATAATCATTAAACAAATTTAATTGAATTAGGGTGAACCAACCAGTCTTCGAACCAGACCAGTAATCGAACTAATTCGTACTTTTTCTATAAAATAAATTAGTAGAAGGTAGAGATGCCTCGCATTATACATGAAAAATAAAATTATGACATTTCCAAATGATATTGTGATGATTGAAAATGTCTAAGTTACCTTATTACCAGCGGAAAAACCAGTTTTCGATGACACGCCGCCAATAGCATATTCCCATTACAGAATACGCATTTCGATTACTGGTTTTCACACATTTTCAGGTTTTTGTATTCATATCATTAATTGTATCGTCAATTAATATCCATAATATTTTTTTCTATTATCTATGGAGATGTACAGGGGAGTTATAATTATTTTTAAATCAATTTTCGACTTGGTTATATTTTTAAATCCACGTCAAAAATAACTGTGACCTTATTCGTTCGAACACTGGACGATTCACCCTATTATTATACAATAATAATTTTTATTGAATTGCATAATTATGCAATTTATTCTATTAAGATATTTTCCAGTGAACTTACTCGGCTCAAATTTTCCAAGTTTGTTTGTTTGATTTTCTTAATAAAAAGAGAAAAATAGAATGAAAAAAAATAAAGAAAAAAATTGTCCTATATTGAAAAATCTTTGAAAAGTTTCAAATTTAAAAAATTCATATTCGAATTACTCCGAAACCGCTGAGGCGATTTTGCTGGACTTTCACTCCACTCTTAATCATACAAAGTTGCATCACTTGTGCCAAGAAATCAATCTCATCGTTTCTCTGAGAGGAATCATCAAATTTATGAAAAAATGTCATTTTTCGACAGTTTTTCACAAATTTGATTGCAAAATCTAAAGAACTGCCTAGGCGATGTTGTTCAGAATCTAATCAGTACTGAGTTACATGAAAATACATCGATCGGTTGTGGCGAGAAATCGTTGCACAAAATTTTGGTCACATACACACATCCACACATACAGACCGATCTCTAAAAAGTGTTGGGAGTGTTTCTAGGGGTCTTGAAACGTACAGAAATCATGAAATTTTCACAATCGATTTTTGGGGTCATTACAATAACTTCCTCCCTTCACACGGAGAGAAATTTCTTGGTATTTCTGGAAAAATTTCGGGGATTTCTATGAAATTTTCACAGAAATACGGGGAAAAATTCACATTTTCCCCGATTAAATTTCTAGTGTCGGCACTGGAATTTTTTCCTGGCCGTCACTTTGCGCCTCTTTTCCCGTGCTAGCGCTAGAATTTTTCGAAAAAATTTCTCTCCGTGTACGACAAAATCATATTTGAGGAGTCAAGAATATTTTAAAGCATGACAGCTTTCTCGGACCACGTGAGGTGAGATGCCTCGGAGATTTAAGCGATTGAAGAAAAATTACTTGTCTCAAGTAAATATGTTTCAGATATTACAATTTTATGCTCAGTTTATGCAGAGCAAAGAATATTAGAAAAGCACGAAATTGCATCAACAGATTACACGGACGAAAAAATTTAATAGAAAAACCTATCGAATTCGTTAGAAAATTTTATTGAATTTCTATTGAACTGTTTTATGAGTTTTTGGCCGATTCTATTGAAATGTTCAATAGAAAATATCCACTAGAAAAAGTCAATAGAATTCAATTTTTCTACATAACTTATTCTATTGACATATTTTCTATAGAATTTCCTCGGCTTGAATTTTCTATTTTTTCGTTTGATTTTCTTGATGAGAAGAAACGAAAAATAGAATGAAAAAAACTTAGAAAATTTGAGTCGAGCAATTTCTATAGAAAATATATGAAAAGAATAAGTTACATAAAAAAATTGAATTCTGTTGACTGTTTCTATTGAATATTTTCTATTGAATATGTCAATAGAAAAAGTCAAAAACTAATAGAAAGTTTAATAGAAATTCAATAGAATTTTCCAACGAATTCGATAGGTTTTTCTATTAAATTTTTTCGTGCGTGTAGTTACCGTTTGAGTTGAAAAATGTACAACGCACTCTTATAGTGTCAAACGGTGGCAGTTTCCATAAAAAGTATGAAACAATTTTTGACAATGACTTACCATTTTTGAGCAGCCAAACTAGATTTCTTTTTCAATTTGTTTTGTAATGAAGACGAGTAATCCCAAAAACTTTGGAATTGTCGAATGATGGAATTATTTGGTACGTGCGAAAGCGAAGAGCGCGACAGACTGACTCAAGTGTCCGCTAGAATCCATTTCTTTATCTCGTGGATTGTTAAGGCCATTTTTCAACATGCTGTTTGACAGAATTATCTATAATCAAAGCCGAGCGATAAGACTATTACTAGGAAATAAATTCTGGGTTTATCCAAACATTTTGAAACATTGGGTTGTCAACTATTTGCGCATGGCTCAATTAGGGAGTATTACAAGACAGGAAAATCTCGAAATTTCAATCATAACTGACATTTTTTCTTTTCATTTTGAAATTTGGAATTCAGTCATTTTCCCGATTGATCCTATCAGCGTTCGTTTATGAAGGGGACGATCATGAGTCACGTTTAGCACGATTGCAACTCGGCAACCCGAACTGACACTCCAACCTGGTCTCAACATTTAGTGCTCATCAACTGGCGGAAAATTGAAAAAAAAAATCATGAATTTTCATTAGGATGTTGTAAACATTAAAATAAACTTAATGATTCAGGTAATTCACCACTTTTCGATTTTCGTAGATTTTCTACCTATTTCAAGTAGTGTGACTCCGTTTATCCGGATGTCGGACATGCTGTGAGTAGAAAAGTGGATTATTTAAGGATGTATTACACCCTTTCCGCCAAAATTCACGTTTTTTGCTATTTTCTGGCAAATTGTTGATCGGATTGACGTGAAAAAATATACCGTTTTTGCGTTTTACCATTATTTAATGACTCACGAAATTTCATGATCGTGCAATCATTTTCCTGTTTTTTCTAAAACTTTTCGGAAATTCACGCAACTTTAGAAAAAATGCAGGAAAATGATTGCACTACCATGAAACTTCGTGAGTCAGTCAATAATAATAAAACGCAAAAACGGTAATTATTTCGCGTCAATCCGATCAATAATTTGCCAGAAAAATGAAAAAAGCGTGAATTTCGGCCGAAAGGGTGTTGTAGTACACCCTTAAACCCTGGTAAAACAGTCCGATTATTTCCGACTGGATGATAAAAAATGAATCGGCGTTAATGAAGTTTCTGTCTTTGCCCGTTAAATTCCGATTGGCTGGAAGGTAGAGTTTGGAGTTTGAGAAAATTATGGGAATTAATGGGAACAAGGGTATGTGGCCGTTATCGTCCGATTACTTTAAAAAAGGTGGTTGATAGATCGCATATTACGCATATAAATATTTAAATGAACAATATGGGATCTATCAACCACTTTTTTGGAGAGTAATCGGACGATAACGGCCACATACCCTTAATCCTATTAATTCCCATAATTTTCTCAAACTCCAAACTCTATCTCCCAGCCAATCGGAATTTAAGAGGCAAAGACAGAAACATCATTCACGCCGATTCATTTTTTATCACCCAGTCGGAAATAATCGGACTGTTTTACCAGGGAACAAGAAACGTTCCAAGTCATTACCTACTTGTAAGCAATTCCTATATCGAATTTCCAAGGCCATTAAAATAACTTAACGAGTGGTGCGAGCTGACGGGGTTCACATACCATCATAGCTTTTCAACTGACCTTTGCTAAATTGCTAGCAAAAATAATGTTCCTCTAACATTTCACATAAAGTTTTCATTGAATTACCTGAGAAATCACTGAGTCATTTTGGTTTACGCTCTAAGATACTAAATATATCATGAAGACGTTAGAACTGCGTCATCAACAAACTGAATGACGTTATTAGTTTCTGAGAAATAGTCGAGGAAAAATTTTGGTTTTGTCATTCACTCCCTAAAGCCGTTATGATAAAATAATGTAGGGTGACCAGACCAATTGCTGAACGGTTAAAGGAAATTCGAGTTTCGTGGTAGGCTCTAAAATAAAAGAATCACCTAAATGGGGATATGATGGCTTCCATACCTTCAAGAATCTTTTAATTAGCAGAAAAAAATAGTTGAAAGTGAAAATAACAAAACAAAGAATAATTAAATTGAGAAATAGTTGAATGTTGCCGAAACCCCCAATTTTTGGACGACTGGGTCCCTTAGTGCCTACTCAAATTACCATTATGATCTTTTTATTCGAAATTTTTAAATGCAATCTAACTATAACTTAAATGTACTCTGTAACCCTCTTGTATCAAAGCGTAAAGCAATAAGGTACAGTAGAGGCTTCGTATAAGATACCTCGCGCTCCGAGCGCTCAAGGTCTACCCCCACTCGCGGCACTTTTATCGCCCCCCCCAATGTTTATGTTCCGTGGGCTTCTTATAAGATACCTATTGCCCCGGTCATTTTTCAACGGGAAGAGGGTAGTTATAAAGATCAAATGGTGTTAAGGGTCAAATGGGAGGGACCAACGAAATGATCATGAGGATCTAATGACCTTAAGGGGGGCACACCACTTTTTTTAAGTAATGGAAATATACATAGATTTTTTTTCACTTTTCCCATTGAAAAATCGTGATTTTTCGTCGGTGATTATTCTCGAGCCCACCAACAATCCCCCAACATCAGCTGCCATTCTATCACGCGGGGTTATGTTTAGAGAGAAAAGGGAATGAGGGCATACAAATTCAAAACATTAAACACGTATAAATTGATTATAGCTATCGGTATTCATTCAGTAAAAATGACATATTGACCAATCAGAATTAAGGATTAGCGGTCAGGCAGTTTCGAGATATTTCGATATAAAACAACTTCACGTTTCTTTCATCTTTAGTAAATAGGATATTTCATTACGAGTGCGGAAAAGAGTTTTCGCCTTCGGCTGGTGCTATAAACCTCCCACGAGCCAAAAAACACTTTTCGTGAGAAGACCCGGTAAACCGCGATTCTAACCTCGCTTCGCTCGGTTTGATCGCGGTTTACGGGCCTTCTGACGAAAAATTGCATTCATCACACGGTCCAAAAGTATTTTCTGACGAATGTGATTATCGTTATGTGGTTCGGCTCGGCCTACAAAGCCACATTCGTCAGAAAATACTTTGTGGACCTTGTGATGAAAATAACTATTTCCCACGAGTATCGAACGATATTTTTCATCACAATGTGTGGAAAAGGGACGTTTAGGCACGCTTCGCGTGCCTAAAAAGTTACCTTTTCGCACAGCGTGATGAAAAAGAATTGAATTGGATTGAATATCGAGAGGGCACCAACACCTCGGTCGCTTGCGACCGGGGCGGCGGTAGTTGAAAAAAAATTCGTTTGACTCAAGTAGTATCTTTCTCACAGCGAACTCCCGTCATTCTCGACGTCTCGGAATCAGTATGGCGGCGTTCGGCGTGCGCATCGTGTCTGCAGTTGCGTAACAATAATTTCCTCATAACCGTAACCGCGTGATTCTCATCAAAATTACTCGAGACAGTTCCCAAGTGTGTTAAACTCCTGGGGGAAACCGCGAATAATCCACCGAACATTGTTAGCCCCTCGATACGTTGAATCGCAAGAGGCACGGTGTTACCAGAGAATACACTGCTATGTCGGAAGGTCTCGGTGGAACTCGCTAGTGACGGTGAAAAGAAGGATGATTTGGCGAGTTGCGAGAGCCGGGAAAAACGTGGGACAACGGTAACGAAAGCTGAGTGTTCCATGGATCAATTAAAGATTGATAAAATGTCGACGATCAAGACGACTGGAACTGGAGCTGCCAGAACATCTCTGCCTATTCTGAGTCACTTCAAGTATGAACATCTTGTTGCTGGTGTCTCCGGGGGCGTCGTGTCCACGCTTATGCTGCATCCATTGGATCTAATAAAGATTAGATTCGCAGGTATATCATTTTTTCCTCTCCCTTCATCAATTTTGACCATTATTCAGCCATTACGTTCTTCGGTACTGGAGGATTTTGGAGCTAACTTCAAAAGACTGGGAAATGAAATAGTCGCAAGCATCCGTCTATTTTTCTCATCATTAAATACGGATTCTTATCATTCAAGGAAAACGAAAATTACAGGTAGAAATGGTTCCTGGAATAGGGGAGGGTAGGGTAAAATGGACACTTCTGGCTTTTTTTGAAATATTCATGACGTGTTGAATTGTTCATGAAATGGAATAATTTTATTTTTGAATTGAAAGAACAATATGATTCCTCTTTGCGATGAGCTTAGACTGAGCTCAATTGATAAATTTGTTTCTGAGTTATGAATATTTTTTAAAAAGTCAAAAGTGTCCATTTTACCCCACCCTCCCCACTCTAGATCATTCGCAAATAGGAGAAAAGTTAAAACTGAAGTGAAGGAATCAGAGTATTTGGAGAAATAACAACGTTGATTAAATTCTCAAAAGAAGCGAAAATAATTTAGCGACAATTTAATCACCGTTGTTGTTATTTCTCCAAATACCCTGATTGAAAACACTCCTTCACTTGAATTTACGAATATGGAGATGATTGAAAACATCAAAAATTAAAACTCTTCTTTTCAATACCAAAAATAGTTGTTTTTAAGATACGAAATAGTTTCGTGTATTTCACTCAGTTCATACTAATTGTCTTCAGTTGAAACACGTGCTAGTCAATTGGAACTCAATTCTAAGATTATGACAGACCTGACCTTGCTCTCTGTACTATCACTTTCGGTGACAGAATGTTCCTTAATAATTTTTCTCATCATTTGCATTAATTTCTGATGTTTGTGAAAATTGCAATTGGCTCATGTAAACTTGTGAGTCATATCCATAGGAGAATGGCGATCACGTGTAAATGAGGAACTGAAAGCGAGATTTTGCGAGCGGTTTCACTATTTGAGTCAAGGATTGAGAGTTTTTCTCATATCATAAGAAAAAGGCGGAGTCAAGCCCAACACAAAGTCATTAGATTCTTATAACCTTTCCATCTTTATTTGTTTTGATTTCATCATTCACGTGAATTCCGGTGGTCGTACGACACATGGCTCATTATGTATTTTACCTCGTGACGTCAATAATAGCGAAAATAAACTTCTGGCGATTTTCCCAGTGTCGACAATGTAAAATCCCTCGATTGTGAACGATTGTTTTCTCTATTTAAGAGAAGATTAATAGATAATAATAATAATAAAATGCAATAATTATAAAACTGAAAAATTAATTATTTGAAATAATTATAATTCTTTTCAGCAAAATATAATGATAGTTTTTAATAATATTTGCTGTTAGAAGGATGCAATAGTATATTGTACATCAAGGGCGGAAAGTCATGTTTTCCCGCCCGAGGTGCACATGCTATTTTTTAACACACCTGCAAAGGAAAGTTCGTATTTTGCTCTTTGATGAGCAGGAGGAAAGCACGAACTTTCCGTGCAGGTGTGTGAAAAATCAAATTTTTTAATCTCAAATGATATTTCTACTTCGGATAATCTCAATTTATGAATTTTTTTAAAGAACAAAATAATGAGGGAATTCAATTCACGAATAGAGATAATTCTTGAATAATCTCTTGAAGGAGGGACAATGGTTCAGGACATCCTCTGGCAATTTTTTGAACCGTTGACCGAGCATATATTGACAATTAATTTTTTCCATTGTTGTTCGGAATCAGCGATCTTGTATTTAACCCGGAGGTCACAAATGAAACAACAGAAGTTTGCAAACGAAAATAATAAACAGTTTATCAGCGCTCGAGGTCATCAATCCTCCGGTGCTCCAAGTGCTCTGGGAAATGGATGATGTTGAAAGAAAATATCAGTGCGATTTTTTTAAGGAATTCAATCGCTTAAGAATATCCAAGTACTTTAGCTGTTTTCTCCAGTGAAATGCTTTTATATTTTTGTAGTCGAACATCAGAGCTTTCATTTGAGCCCCATTTGACCCTCAGTTTCCATATATTTTATAATGATTTTATTATTTAAACTTTGCAGGTCTGAATTAGAATCTCGATATTGTTAATTACCGTTGGAAAATATTCTAAAAATGTAAAAAAAAAATAGGAAATTTACTTTTAAAGGAAGGGATTGAAAAATTTGAAAGTTGTAATTTTTGAAAATCAATCAACGAGCATTTTCTATAAATCATTTATAAACAATAATTTTCCTCCATAAAAATCATTTGTTCGGAATCCTAACAAATTATTCTAGCAAGAATAATTCATAAGAAATTATTTATATATAAATAATACTCTTATTTGAATAAGAAATTATTCATATTCAGAATTTTACCAGAAATCGATTTCATGCCTGAAAAAATAAGGTTTCCGCACGTTTAATTATTTATTTATAAACAAAGAATGTTTAAACAAATCACAATTCTGTGCAAAATGTAATTTTAATGAAGCTGAATATTCATGATTTTGTTCCAATTTTTCTCACGCAATTTAATTAACAAATTTGATGATTGAAATTGGCTAAATCTATAGTGTGATCTGTACTAATCTGTAAAAGATACTTGGATATCTTTAAGAAAAATCTCTACTATTCATCTGCAGCACTGATCACAGAGATAATGATATTTTTCCCGATTTCCAAGCACTCGAATATCAAATTCAATTGATTAAATCATTATCCCCTCAATCCTTGATTCTCTAAAAAAAAAGTCAAGGAACATGTCTTATAGCTGAAAATATTCTCCTAAAATGGTTTATCTTAGTGGATACCCTTATGACCTTTTCCTACAGATATAATTCAGCTATGATTGATTAACATGTTACCCAATCATCCACTTCAAACGTTTTCTTACTCCTCTCCACTAAATTGAAATTTCTGGATAGAATAAATAGTCTCACTCCGATGAACAGGTGTTGAGTAAGCTGCATACCCACACTGACAGACCAACGAACAAGTTCTCAAACAAGTATTGTTTGGGCCAACAAAATCGTTAGTTGAAAATTACCAAAAAATAATTGTTCGGTTCGAATTTGAAAGTCTCGAACATGAATAATTGCTCTGCTCTCAACAACAACGAAATATTCGGCTCAAGAGACGGATCATTCATACAAAACGGTGTCTTTTCAAAATGAAAAAATCTTTTATAGAGGGAAGTCTATTAAGAAATATTTTCTCCCTAAGTCACAAGATTACTATCATATAATTATTATTCTTCATTTAAGAATTCATTTGTTGTCTGTGATTATTAGATGGCCGAAACGACAAACTGCTATCCCTCGTTTCATATAAAACGAGCATTTACCGGGAGCAAAATACGTACGTGTGCATCGAATAACGAATAAGTACTGCTAGAAATTTCATTTTTTGCTTGCACAGAGAATACATTTTTTTTGAAAACACTAAATCCATTTTTGGATAAAATTTTCCAATCACAAACTATCAAAAATTATCAGTAAACTCATTTTTTCATCATTTTTAACAACCGATTTTTTTGACACAAGTAAGACTTGTTTGGGAACTCTGCTGTTCTTCTCCCAGTGCAGTGCAAGGAAACTTTCCATGCACAATTTGAAAGACCATCAAACGTTTGAATTGGCGTTGCTCGTGACAAACATAATGAGGCTATTGTTTCCAATGAATAATCATCGGGGGCTCGTCTCAAGCTTCTAGACGCTGCGTTTTGATAAGCATAATCAGCTCAGTTACATTTTTCCACTTATCGTCGTTCTTATTTACAACCGATGATGTCGTATAAACAGCAAATTAAAATACAGACACACTCGAAAATGAAGTTCATCAAATTTAGCTGTCATCATATTCATTTGTTATTAAATTTATCACTTGTAATACCACAAGAGCTTCAAAATTATCGGGTATTTTCCGATAGGTTCGTTGCAAACAAACGAAGGAGTCAAATTTTTTCTGAAAAACAACGACTGCGTTTGTATGCAGGGAACCTTGAGGAAAATGCCCGATTAATTTTGAAGCTCGTGTGGTATTCGGGGGATTATTTTTCCAATCCAAATGTCGGGCAATATAATTGGACCATGAGACGAAACTCACAATTGACAAACGAAAATTGTATAATTAACACTCATTTCGAATAAAAACCCTCGGATTACCACAATTGAATTCAATCTGTCAGTTTGTCGAGGGGTTAATTCGACTGCATGATGTTTTGTTTTTTATATAGCAACTGCCAGAGAAAATTATCAAAAGATTATCAGTTGAAAACCCCGTAGCTTGTACCACGTGATGTCGAATGGGCCAATTATATTGCCCGATATTTGGGTTGGAAAAATAATCAAAAATAAATTATTCCCTTTCTAATTGTTTCGATTCATCGTTGACAATTCCAGCGACAATTACAATGAATAAAATTTTGCCTACAGATGTGAGGAAACATCGCCACAGGTTGATATTTCCACGGGAAAATCCGCTGAACTTTGTACGTCGCCAAAGATAAAAGCCCAGTCATATGCACGTGTTTAGACTCACCTGTGATATATTTAGTTCGCAGATTCCGCTTTGTGATATCACAGATTTTCTGCCTCATTAAGCAGCTTTCAGCCGTCTGCATCATCCCAGGATTGAAATAAATAATTTGTTTTTCATTTCGTTGTGGGGAATTAGGAAAATGGAGTAATAGAGCACAGCTATTCTTCATTCGAACGGGCAATGGGCTCCGATATTGCGTCAGACGTTTGTGTGTCGGTGTCGTATAAGACTATTTCATCAGCAGTAACAATTCCCTTCGAATGGAGATATTTAGTTATTTATTTATTTATTTATTTATTTATTTATTTGAATACCTTGTTTAAATTCAAATTGAAAGATAAAAATTTTCATCAATATAATTTCTCATCAAATTAGCACTATAAGTACAGAGGTGCAAAACAGAAGCTCCCATTGAGTTTGTGCAATATTGATTGTTAATAAAAAATTTTTTGGTAATTTTTTCATATTTTTGGAGGAAATTAGCAAAGGAAACGTTCGCAGAAGTTCCGCTACGCAGAGAATGTGGAGAGTGGGGAGATCAAGCGCGTGGAGTGGGGCGCGCCCGACGACATTTCCCTAAATCTAAAATAATTCATAGCTCACCAAGTATTGAAAATATTAAAAAATACCAAGATATCAAAAAATTTAAAAAAAGTCAAAGAATTTTTAGACAGAAAAAATGAAAAAAATCGAAAAAATTTCCTGTTATTATTGAAAATTTACGTTAACAAATGCCAAGAAAAATATAAAAAAATTCAAGATTGATCCCAATGACTCATGTTTGGGATAAAGCTACCGAGCTTGATCAAAAATTTTTCCAGTCAGATTATATATTGAAAAAACAGCAATTTTTTTAGTTTTATCAACAAATAATAAGTTAAATATGAAAATTGAGTGAAAAGGTTAAGAGAGTGAAAATGAAGAGGAGAGAACGAGAAAAAATCACCTTTTGTTCTTATTCCAATAAGTTAACTGGATCAAAAGTTATGTTATGGCAAATTTTGGTTAAAAAATGAAAAAAAAAGAGAAAAATGGGGACTCCCAAAAAATCGAAAAATGTTTTTAAAAAAATTTCCTCTCCTGGAGATATTCTATGAAGGGTGAAGATGCATCCTGATTTTTTTCAGATTTTTTAATCAACTTTTTCACAAATTATTTGCATTTTGCAACTAAAGTGGACTTTTCGGCGTTGGCGGCGAATTAGCTTTTTCGTAGTTCAACTTTGAGCACGCTTGGCGGCTTGGCGGTTGAAATTACGAAAATGCCGCCACTGACTTTTTTGTAGGAAATTTCATGCTCTACAAATTGAGTCCTATGCATTTTTATCCTATCTATCACGGTTTCGTCGGCGTAAAGCAAAAACGGTCGCGTGGAGGCTTAATTTTGCAGTTTTGAATTTTTTTAAACAATTTCCCGGTTTGCTACAATCCCAAAAACTTAGTATGTTTCATATCATTCTTCCTCATGATATCTCATGGTTTTTATCCTTCTATCATCCTTGATGTCGGCCGAAAAAAAGTCCTTATTTGACTGGCCTATACTATAACGAGTGTCTCTAACGGGAGTCTACTGTATCCAGCCACAGGCTCTACTCAAATGGAGATATTGGAGTTATTTATTCAAAACTTCAGGAATTTTCCGTTTTCCCTTTGTTTGTTTGATATCGGCACAATTCATAAAATGATTGATTTTACATTCATTCAAAGTTTTGGGAATTTCTCGTTTTCTCTTTGTTTACTTGATATCGACAGAAACCATAAAATGACACTTTTGTAATAGATGGGCGTAAGAGCATAGGAAATCCATAGCACTCGCGCGAATACGTTTGTAAGATGACGATATTTACAGGGGAACAAGAGTACTTATTGCTGTATTATTCGTCCAATATGATCCAACAATGTCTACATGGTGTGTAAATCGATGTGGATTATCTTGTGAACAGCAGCAAAGTGTAGATTCTTATTACCGGATAAACAATTCCGTCAACTATTCTTAAATTTTTTCAAATCATTGTTCCACTAATATAATCCACTTCACCATGAAAAATTCACAAAGTAATTGGCAGAAACTCGGTGATCGTAAAATTTATCAACTAATCGATCGGTTGCAGAAAAAAGACGGTTGCTGAATATTTAAACAGAATAATAATTTTATCTGAATAACCATTTCTATAAACAACAAACAATTTCACAATCTGAGCTTAATATAAAAATTTCCATCTCTAAAGCGCATGACATTCCCCTTTTCCAGATTTTTATTGTTAACGGTTTTATTGTTAAATATCAGATGAGAGTATAGTGTTATTTAAATTACCGTCCCCACTAAACGAAGCGAAAGTAACTAATCACCTTTATGTTTTTTTTTGTTTTAACTGTTCCATCTGAAAAAAAATGTGGCCACAGAATGAGTCGCTTTCACTTTCTTATTTCTCTTCAAAATCGCTTGATTTCTGTGCGACTAATCCGTTTTTTCTGCACTGTTCTAAGAAGATTATTTTTAATCTCTGTTATCACCACACACATTCATTCGTTCAAAAATAAATCCTAGATTAGGTAAATATTGAACATGTTGTTTAACATAACCGTCATTATCGCAGAGCGCTTCAGGAAGGACAAATAAAATTTTAGAACGATAATATTTGTTGAGAACGAGTCAGTGAATTGTGGAGAATCGAAGCAACAAGAGGCTTATGCTGTTTTGTTTATTGTTTTCCACTGGTTTTTTGAACGAAGTTTATTTTAGTTTCAGGTTTTTTTTTCTCACCCTAAATTTATGATTCTATGTGGAATTATATTTAATTAATTTTTTTTTATAATCATTCTTTGATTTTTCAATTCTAATGATAATTCTATTAATTATACAAAAATTTGTTCGTTACGGCTATAATTTTCAACAAAAAGGTCTTTTGTCATTCTTAATCTAGTCCCTCATCAACGAGATGATTTATAATAATAATTCCATTTGGTTGTGAAGTCTTAGTAGGATATCATAAATACCGAAAGAGAAGCAGGGATAGCCATATTCATAAATCATAATTACCGATAAATTTTGAAGCTGTCATTTACTTAACATCACTCTTAAATTTTTAATTATTTTAGTAATCATCAATGTTAATATTCAAATGCTGAACTATTTTATTAATTAATAACTTATGTAAAAAGATTGCCGATTATTTGGTCAATTGGTAATCCCCTTTAAGAAATTCGAATTATTTACTCAATGGAAAATTCACAGCCCCATATTATCAAATATTTAATTCACCATCAATCGCAAATTTAAATTATTAATGTCATACTATTTTTATATTTTGATGAGAATATTTAAACCTTCATCAGTGTAAGTCACAGCTAATACTGTTGAAATTTAATATTGACGGCCATTCCTAAAGAGGAGCTCCATGAACTGAAGTCATTTTGACCACTTTTCCGCTACATTTTTGACCCTCTGAATTTAAAAGCTGACTTACCTGAATTCATTCAATATTTTTATTCTTCCTTTCAGTCAATGATGGAGTATCAAAGTCTGTGCCACAGTACTCAGGACTGAGACAAGCAATCAGAGAAATAGTAAGACTAGAAGGATGGAGGGGATTGTACAGAGGAGTAGCACCCAACGTTCTAGGGTCTGGAAGCTCTTGGGGATTTTATTTCTTCTTGTAAGTCCTCAAAAATAGTTCAATTTCCTTTCTCTGATTGTCCACATTTATTAATCATGTCTACACCTCCAACTAATGTGACAAAAAAATTTAGAGGTGATACAGCCGTAGAGCCAAAGGGGCATAAGTGTCTTCATTTCGAATTTTTTCAGAAACAGAAACAGAAGAAACATACGCCAAAGGGGCGTATGTTTTTTTAAATTCTGAAATTAAATTTACTGGCTTTTTCCAACGTTTTTCACCAATAAATTTTGATAATGACAAATGGGTGTATCTCCAACTAATGACAACAAAAGGGGCGTATCTCCAGGACATGCACTCCATCAATTGTAGTCTTATATTACGATTAAAACTCTGTAGCTCAAAAATTGGAGGCCCTGGACTATTTTTAACATTTTTCTCTAGATCTTTCCCTAAAAGAAAACGTGCAAAATAATCTGGATACACGTGTATACTAAATTTGATTTTCACGATTTTTTTTGCAGTTACAATAGTATAAAAACCTGGATACAAGGTGGTAACTCGAAGAAACCACTGGGTCCATCCCTTCACATGTTTGCAGCAGCTGACGCTGGTGTTCTAACTCTCCTGATAACAAATCCAATTTGGGTTGTCAAAACACGTTTATGTTTGCAATACAAGACTGACGTAACACTGTCAGAGTCTAAGAGATACTCTGGAATGATGGATGCACTTGAGAAGATTTACAGGACTGAGGGTGTCAGGGGACTGTACAAAGTACGATGAGAGAGAACGAAAAAAGATTTTTTTCCTATGGAAAATTACTGGGTTTGTACGAAAAGGTTTTGTAATAATTTTCGTATCTTCAGGGTTTAGTTCCTGGTATGTTTGGGGTGTCACATGGGGCTATTCAGTTCATGACGTATGAAGAGATGAAGAACCATTATAACATTTACAGAAAAACGCCCATCGATACCAAACTGGTGAGTATTCAATGGAAAATAAATGAATTTATTACTTTGTCAACATTCTGATTATGAAAACATTGATGTGGAACTAACTTCCATACAATTTATTTCGTAAACATCTCTGAAACTATAAGATTTACAGAAAATTGTTAGCAGACTCTTCTTGTAGTTAATAACATTTCGATGGTTACTGAAGTAATTTTCATTCTCGTAAACTCACAGATTTAAAAAAGAATGGCAAGACTCTCTTTAGAGCGAATAAATTTTTTTCCAAATAAGCTCTTATGGCACTACTATCTCTTAGAACCGATAGTTACGGTAAATGTACCTATGCTCGTCCCTGTCCCTGTGCTCGCTCAGATGTGGCGAGCTATCACATGTTAATCATTTTGACAGCCCCAAGAATCTATTAAAAGTGAAATACGATTGGAGTTATTATTTTAGTTAATAAGGAAAGTTATCGACGCCAATAGACAGTGATTTATTGAAGAATGGAAGAGAAAAATCCCATTCACGTCAACTGGTGCCATGACAGAGTCAATTCTTAAGCCGCAAGTTAAGAAACTTACAATTAAAAAATGTTGACATCTCCGTCAAATAGTAAAATAGGATTAAACATCCCTTGACTGTGGTTTTGGATAGTTTAAAGTTAAATCAAAATGCATAAATTATAGTAATATCTTAATATTTCACTGAAATATGGGCAATTAAGAGAATAGGTACAATGAAAATGTAATTGATCCCACTCGTTTTGCAGTCAACTGGTAACGGAGTAAACGGATGAAAAACTCATTTAAAAGGTTGGACTTTCCAATTAAAATATAATTTTGTGCTTCGAGGTTATTAGTTGGATATAACGTTTCCATATCATTCAAATTACAAGACGAGGATAGGGATATGTGTCAAATGGGGGGACAAGCGAGCGAACGTAGGGACAGGAGACTTCCCACATTTGTGGACGGTTATTTATTCAAAAATAGTATTTATCACGATTAATACGAGCTAATTCTAATCATGAAGGTTTTACACTTTACACTTATTTCCTCTATTAAAAAATAGGCGAAACATTTTTGGTCAGCAATCTATTTCGCCAAGCATATGCTAGATTTAAGAATATTTCAAGTTTATCTTAGCTTATACATAAAAAATACTGATTTATATGTAATATGAATATATATTATATAAATATAAATATAAAAATATATAACATATAAAATTATAAAATCATGACAATGTTATTCATAATAATAATAATAAAATTTATCTATTATATTAACGTATTATCATTTTATACATTTTATATATAAATATTTTTTATTCATAAACAAAGATAAACTTGCAATATTCCTAGGTCTAACATAGACTTGACGAAATAGATTACTGACCGAAACTATTTTACCCATTTTTTAATTGAGAATTGACATGAAAATTGGTGGGCAGTTCTTTGAAAAAGATTATATTCTCACATTTGGAAAACACTTACACCTGATTTCATAAACAACGAGAGTTTTTCGTCGTAAACATTTTTAAATATCATTTTCTCAAAATTTTTCTCAACTCTGAACATAATAAAAGCGGACATTAACTCCTTTTTAATGAATAAATGATGATAAAAAATAAGATGCAAAAATGAGTAGCCAATCATGCGCCTTTTTGCTAGTCAATAAGAGAAATATTGAACTAGTGATGTGTTCACCTTAACTCGACGAGCACAAGGTCATTTACCTTAACGATTTTGTAAACTAAATTGATCAGTTATTATCAATTTAATTTGATAATCAACGACGAAAATCATTGCGATTGAACTTTTACGATTTTAGGGAACCATGGAGTACATTTTCTTCGCAGCAGTATCGAAACTAATTGCTGCCGCCTCAACATATCCCTATCAAGTTCTCAGGGCACGTCTCCAAGATCATCATCATGACTACAAAGGCACATGGCACTGTATCCAAGTTACATGGAGGTCAGAGGGCATTCGGGGTTTTTACAAAGGCTTATCGCCGTACCTTGTGCACGTCACACCAAACATTTGCCTCATCATAATTATTTATGAGAAGGTTACCGGCGGCGTTTAACTGAAGCTTCAGATCATCTCATAGAATCTTTAATTTCTTTTGTATGAATTGATTTTTGTGGGAATAACGACGTGGAAATGAGGAAAACAATGACAGAAGGATTCAACATGTGCCTGTAAAAGCGCTTCTGTTGAGCGCTTCTGTCATTTTTATTCGTTAATTTCTCAATTTTCCTTTTAGTTTCAAGAAATTATCGATTTTGACTCAAGGTACACGACTGAGAAATTCAACTGATATTTTTTTTAGTGAATTTTTGTGAATGAATGGTTGCAACATGGACGAATTTAATAGTTTACTTAGTACCTCCATTATACTTTCCTTTTTCTCGAATTCATTCATTTGATTCGCAAGTGACATGGTAGAGCACTTTCTGTACAATATTTTGTTAATTTTGCAAATATCTCGAGAATTAGCGGGTTTAAAAAATACTGCCCTTGGTAAATGGAGGAGCTTCCTACAAAAAATATCTTTGCGTACTTTCCCATCAATACGCCAATTGCCGAGATGATTCCATAATTAACAACTTGAAACCATTTCACCACGTCTTCACTAGAGTGTCTCGAATGAACTGTGTTTAAATTCTCACATTTTATCAACTTTGAGAGCTGAAGGAATGTTGATGTAAAACGAAATTAATTGAGAGAGGGAGAGAGAGGGAAAAAAACATTCGAGAAAGGTGAATAATGGTTCCCTGATAGATGGAGGAACAACTGAGTGGCATAATCGTATGAAACGATTGCTAAGAAATAGATTAGGTATTCATTTTTTAAGGAGTTCACTCGTGACGACAAATTTGCAGTGACACTTAACTTCAGTAATGGATTAGTGCAAATAATTTGAAAACCATCAAGAAACATTAACAATTTGATGTTTTGTGAACTACGATCTTCAATCATTTAGATCTCGTCTTCACAAACTCTGTAAATATTAGCAAAAATTTATTTATGACAGCCCCATTGTTGTGTAGCTGTAAATAGCTCTTCCCCCTCATAGTTAACAATTTCAAAGAAAAAAAAAACGATGGCACAAATTTTATTGTTCAAGACACTATCATTTTTCTCCAATGCAAGTGATTATTTAAGACTTAGCACTTTTGAATAATAATGAGTTGAATTTTTAATTGAAGAATCCGATGAAAAAACACGAGTGACTGAAAAATGTGCTGAATCAATAAAAAAATTATAATTTTTGTTGTGAAGATTCAATTAATTTGTGGCGGGCCCACATGGATGAAAAATTGTATGAATGTCAGGGTGTGTGCATACCGTGGGAACTATCATAAAACCACCAGCAGTACGATTTTTGGCTGATGTTTTTTTCCAGTCAATTATTCCATAGTTAAAATGTAGTTCAGATTCGATCAGTTAAAATCCATCTCGGCTGTTTTGCACACGTGCCAATTTTTTCGTATAATATCAGAATAGTTAATTCTTTTCGAATGAAGTAACAAAGACAAGAATATCCGCAAACGTAACTGATAAATTTACTATGCTCACTCAGGTCAGTTAGTCCGATGAATTTATTGACATGTTACTATTATTGTGCTATTATTTCTATGAGAATCCCAGTCTCAAATATATAGTGTAATGCATAAAATAAGTGTCTGTACACTGCGCAAAAAATTACTTTTGCCAAGGAATCATTTTCTTGGGAGAAGAATTCATTTTTTAGGAGCTTATTTCTCCAGGTCAGTCATTTCCATATTACGATTGTGTTGATTTATGAAAGGATTATGCTATATGTGACCTTGAATAAACACCCTTCATTATTTTTCAAATTTTATATTTTATTACGTAAAATAATTTGGAATAATCCCAAATGATAACAATTGTCAATTGAAATGTTAATAATTATCATAATTCAACATAATTGTAATTATTCGAGATGGACTTGGACCACCTGAAAATGACTGCCCTGCAGAAATACGGTCCTAAAGAATAAATTCTCCCAAGAAAATGGATCCTTGGCCAAAGAAAATTTTTCCTCAGTGTAGACTATTTCTTAATCTCATCCAACCCTTTGCAGAAACTTGTCCAATTCAATGAACTGTCCCCGTGTAATCCAAGAATGTGCAGTTTTGCAAAACAGCCTTCATTTCCATCCGTCAAGAATCGTACGCGGGTTTTTTTATTATTAGCCATCAAATCATCCAAAAATGAAGAAAAAATAGTAAGAAAAGTATTGCTGGTGGTTGATTGCAGGGGTGAAGGTTGGCGTGGATTTTACAAGGGCTTGAGTCCCAACTTAACAAGAGTTGTACCGGCGACTGTCATCACCATGGTCGTCTACGAGAACGTGTCACATTTTATGTTGAATAAATCATCATCTGGGTCTAATCAGTACCGCAAATTCGACACCAGTGAACAGTCCCCGATGCCGGTGGCAATTAAGAACGTCAAGAATTGATTAAGGTAACATCGCTCCATTGAAGGAAAAAAGACGACGAAAATTCTGATGAAATAAAATTTGTAGTTGAAAATTATTCAAGCAACTTTATGATGCATTCCACGATTTATACTTTTCACGCATTTTATTTGTTCTGGGTGCATTTTTACTTTGACAAGTAAGAAATGATGAAAATTGTTAAATTCTGTGGAGAGATGATTAGGATGATTGGTTACAAGATTTCAGTAAATTAATTTGTTTATAAAAAATATTATTTGAGATTTTGCCTTCGTAAATAATCGGCCGATTAACAACAATTCGATGTAGATGTGAACTGGATTTTCTCCATTCTCTCCACAGAATAATTAGGGGAAAAAAGGAAGACTGAGATAATTGCTACAATTGAAAAATTGAGAAGAAATTTATCAAACACGCTCAATTAATTATTCGATAGTCCAATCTTCCTTCTTATTTATTTGTCTAAAACTTGAATTTTCTTCGTTTTTTGCTAGCAATAAATTGATGAATGTTTTCTCCGACTTTTGATTGGTTTCCACGGATTGCCATTGCGTAAACTGGTAGAATAAAAACTTGAGATAATCATCATTACGAAATTCATTTAAAAAATGGCCAAGATGTCGAGACTCTGCTGGCGGGTCTTATAATCTGTAGTTCTCATTATATAATCTCGTTTTTACTTCAATCATATCGTACTTATCAATGTGTAACTGACGTGTGGGAGTGCTTGTTTATTCAATTTACTTATGGTAAAAACAAATTGTTCCATGTCTGGGTATCAAGATCGATGTAACTTGAGCCGTAGTTGAATAAATATGTGGATTAATGGAAGAAAAGTAAATCTGTGTCATCGACTCGTTGATCAACCTTCCCAGTTGTCCTCTTCACTCTTTAGTCCACAGTGGTTTTATGCAGTTATAACAAAGTTAGTATCATCTGTACCACATCCCTCAATCCTCTAAATTAAATAAAAATTAAATCCCCTCGCTGAAAATGAACTCAATAGGAATGTGGTGGATAGTAATCGGGTTATTTTGCAAATGTTCGTGAAGAGGTGCCCTAAATTTCCTAAGAAATTTTTTATTTGTGAAAAATTCCCTATAAAAATAGATATTGTTACGAAATCGAATGGTTTGAGTTATCCTCTTCCCCTCTTTTATAAAATAATAAAAAGAGATAGATGTTCTTCTGTTGTTAGAGCCTGAATTGAAGTATGATGATACTTTTTGTTTTATTAAATAATTTCAAGAACAGTCAATAAAAACGCCCCTTTGATTAATCTCCGAATTATTATTTCTTTGAATACAATATTTTTTAAATAGACTGCTTGGAATTCACCAGCTCATCTTGATTATCACGATGAGTAATGTTAGAAGAAACTGTCTAGAGCCTTTCGTTTTTACAAAATTTGTTCCACGAAAAAAAAATCTCTTGGCATTGATCTAATTTTTAATTATTCTCTTTCCACTTCATTTCTCCCAGACCTGAAAAACATACCTGGAAAGGATAAGTCAGTAAAACACAAACGACTTTCGAAAGGAAAAAAATTATTTTATCCATAAAACTTGAAGAAAAACCTCTCGTACAATCCTCACCTCTTCTTACCAATTAAACTGATTTTTCTCTTTTTTTAGTATTTTTCATTATTTTTTAGTTAACATTGATTTACAAAAGTATTCATTTTATTTCCTTTAGTTTCACATTGTGTATTTTCTCATTGTATTTAATAATTAATCGCATGAACGATAAAAATAAACGGTACAAGAAACGTTGGGTCCTCAAAAGAAAAAAAACAAACTCGAACTGACCGAAAAAAAAACCCAATTCACTACAATTTACTTGAGAGGTAGTTGCTAAAAATTTTGTTTCAGAAATTTCAAAAGAAATAAACACCCACCCTCCCCTCGAGTCCTCAAACTACTCGCCCGCCCCTAGAAAGAAACCGAAAAAAAAAATCATAATTGACTCAAGAAAAAAAAAGATCCTCTCGATAAAAAAAGGAAAAACGTAAATGAAAAAAGTTGGAGAAGAGTAAAAAATTGTTCTCACGGAGCAACAATTTACTCTTTCTTGACGGCCTGTTTAGCCTGATGTGCCTGTAGTACGGCGACAGCCTCTTCAACCTTAGCCTTGAGTGACTCATTATGCTCGAGCATGTGGAGCAGCTCCGAATTATCAATCTCCAGCAGCATTCCAGTGATTTTGCCAGTGAGTTGAGGATACATGCATTGAATGAGTGGGAACAATCTCTCCCCAAGCATCTGTTTCTGTTCCTGAGGAAGAGCAGCAGCGAGCATAGATGCAGTGAGTGGCTCCTGTCCCTGGATATGCACAGCTTGTTGGACAGGTGCAGGTTGAGGCATGGCCATGGCCTGCGGAGGATTCCTGACATTCAAATTATACTTGTAATTGGGTGGTCTGTTCTGTGCCGGAGAAACTCCAACAGAAGCTCCAGCCATGGCTCTTCCTTGCGCATTAATGTTGCCCACAGCTTGCTGGCCAGTGATTGGACGAGCAGACATGGCATTACGCATTGCTCCAGCTTGAGCACCTGGTGCTCTTGGAGTTGCTCTGAATGGCGCTTGCATTGTGGCGAATCCAGAGCTACCAGTTTGTGCATTTGGACGCACTTGATTTGGCTGTGCTGCCCATCGTGGGGTGGCACGAACCTGGGCCATCTGTGCTGGTCCATAGAATCTCTGGGGTTGTGGCAAAGTGGGCACGAAGAAGCTCCCAGCACCTCCTGTCTGGTACATTGGTCCCATCTGTTGCATCCTGAGGTTCGACATCCTTTGAATGTACTGAGAGGCTAAATGAGCCTTTCTTTCATCCTTACGTTGCGCCAGTGCAACGTAAAGTGGCTTTGTACCCACAATACGTCCATTCATCTCTGTCACTGCCTTTGTGGCTTCCTCAGGGGCTGAGAAGCAGACAAAACCAAAGCCCTTGCTCCTACCGTCTTCCAACATTACTTTGGCCGATGTGATTGTGCCGAATGTGGTGAATTCCTTGCGCAAACGTTCATCGTCGATTGTGTCGTCGAGATTTTTCACGTACAGATTGACACCTTGATATCTGTTCAAACGCTCAATCTTGAGCTGCTCAAACTTGCGTTTCAACTCTTGCTGACGTTCAGCCTTCTTCTGTGCTCGACCCACGTACATGTACTTGCCCTCGGTGATTTCCTTGCCATTGAGCTCAAGGACTGCTTGCTCGGCTGCCTCGGGGTCCTCGAAGGCCACGAAACCAAAGCCACAGGATTTTCCATCGTCCTTGGCCATCACCTTGTAGCTGGTTATTGTTCCGTACTTCTCGAACATGTCTTTTAGTTTCTCGTCAGTCATGTCCTCGCCGAAGTTCTTGACGTAGACGTTCGTGAAGAGCTTGGCCTTCTCACCGAGCTCCTTCTCGCGTTCTTTGCGTGGAATGAATTTACCAACGTAGACCTGAGGGAGAGAGAACGAGCAATTGTTAAGGTTTATTATTAATATAGTTTATTCAACGCTTAGGATATATTCCTGCGATTCTATTTCGTCAGGTACATCTCGTGCTGAAGCAAAGGTTTTTTACGATATTTTCATTCCCCACCGGTATTTTTTACATCTTGGGTCGAAAAAAATATAAAAAAGTTCTCTTTCTGCGCCGAGGTTGTCAACTTGCTGATTCAATCAAGCAATTAACTTGTAAAACAAGTTAAACAGGCGAATTTTCATCTAATATTAAATATTAAGTCTTCAAAACAACGGAGCATTGAATTAAAAATTTTGTTTTCAGAAATTGAGATGAGAAAAATCAACAAATTAACGAAAATTTGGTAATCACTGAGGGCCTGTTTTCAGCTTAATTTAACCATGATTAACCGGTGGTTAAAGTGAAGTGAGTCCAACCAATGGGAGATTTCAACTCGGAGTTGACTTAGTGTTTTGTGCGAAAGAGAAATAATGACATTCATCTGAAATTCATATAGAATGTTTATAACCACAATTGAATTATCTATGAATTTTCCTAGAATTTTTTCAGATTTCCTTTTTAAGTTATTAACGATTGAAGTCGCTTCTTACACATGGGCTCTTATCGAGATTTTTCTATTTAGCATGAGAATACATTATCAGCTCAGATGGTAACGCAGTTTAGTGCCAAACAGAAAAATCTCCATAAGAGCCCGTGAATAAGAAGCGACTTCAATCGTTAATAATTTGAAAAGGAAATTGGAAAAAATTCTTGGAAAATTGATAGGTAATTCAATAGTGATTATAAACATTCTATATGAATTTCAGATGAATGTCATTATTTAGAAACTGGATTCCAAGGTTTTTCGTCGCCAGATGAATATTCAGCAAAACCCAAATTCTCTTACATTCTCTTTACATGATCAATAATCTTGATATCTATAGTTTAAGGATTGTAATTTGTTTTATTGAAGAGTCGTCTGACGACGAATAAACTTGGAATCTAGTTTCTACTCCGATGGTAAGTTCCATTGCCTGTTAACTTTAACCGAGATGCAACCGTCGTTAGCTAAACCAAAAACTGGTCCTCAAGCATTTTGAGATAGATGATGTTATGGGTAAATTTTGAAAGCTCTTTTCTCCAGTCTCAAAGTTTCCTATTTACTAAGGATGAAAGAAACGTGAAGTTGTTTTATATCGAAATATCTCGAAACTGCCTGACCGCTAAGCCTTAATTCTCATTGGTCAATATGTGACACGAAGATATTCACAAAAAAAACACGCGGCATTCTCAAATTCTTCAGTGACATAATCTCGAATTCTTCAGTGGTAAATTTTTGTTTCGCGTCATATATACATATTTAATACATATATTTCACATGTATATATATCATCGGTTAAATTAATAAAATCTGTCCTTTTATAGAGACCGATTATTTAAAAAAATTGAAGATAATTAATTGAAAATGAAAAATTCTTTATAGATTCTTTTACTCTACTTCGCTATTCACTTCAATCATTAGTCGAATTCTCTTTAATTCATTATCAATATTTATAAGGTATTCATGAGAAAACGAAATTCAATGAATTCCATTTCTTCATTTCAACAAATGAATAGATCAGCGCGCGCGAGAGCGCGCGCATAGATCTTGTTCAAGAAAAAGCATCGTCTGAGTTAAAAAAAAAGGAAAAAATGTATTCACCTTCTTGCCGTTCAACAGCATACCGTTGACCTTGTCAATAGACTTGTTGGCAGCCTCCTCAGTCTCGAAATGAACGAAACCATATCCTTTAGACTCACCGGTCTCGTCCTGCGCTACTTTACAACTGAGTATGTTGCCAAATGCAGAGAATGTATCGTACATAGCTTTATTATCAATGCTTCGGTCCAGATTCTTGATGAAGACGTTGCCCACTCCTGACTTACGAAGTGATGGGTCGCGCTGCGACCACATGATACGAATTGGGCGGCCCTTCAGCATGTCAAAGTTCATAGTGTCCAAAGCACGCTCGGCTGTAGGAGAAAAACAGAATTTCATCATTTCTTATCCCAAAATTCATTGAAAAACATGTCCAAGTGAATCACAAATTTTTCCAACATTATGCTAACTCGTTGATGTCAGTGAATGACATCATAATGAGCTTTTCGTGTTCCCTCATAAGAAACGATTTCTCCTGATGTTCAATCTGTGATGATATCAGTAATAAAGTGGTGCAGAGGTTCACCCAAAGGAAAAGTATTCCTTAAAAAATGCATGATGTAATGAAAAAAGTCTTCTTTAAAATCTAATCGACGCTCGATCGATAATGGATCTTGATTATTACTCAGAAAATCGATCATAATTGAGATAAGTTAATTATAATGAAATCCATTTCATCCGTTCTTAAGGTGTTTCGTCTGTAGATCTTTGGAGGAGTGAAACGGAAGGGAAGTCCTATTGTTATCGAGCCCTGATTCAATCACTGAACACGAAAAAGCCAAATTTTACATTATAATATTGACGTTTTAAGCTTCGATACTTCACTATTAGAAAATTACTCTTGCAATTTCAAGTGAAAAAGTGAAATTTCTGTATATTTCTTCATTGACGAATCAATTAATTTCTTGAATATCCAAGTAATTCTCAATTTTCAGGTTCATACGGTACTGAAAACCTTGAAAATTTTAAAAACTGAGGCAACAACTTTTCAGAATTCTCAAACTATCGAAAATTGATTGTATGTGATGTACAATTTTCATCGAAAAATCAATGATTGTTTAACACGAAAAACCCAATTATCTCGAATTTTCAAGATGAATAAGAAACTTAGTGAACGCTTTCATTTGAAATTGAATTCCCCGTCACATGGAAAATTCAGCTGACGCTGACTGAAATTTCCCGAAATTTCTACCAGTGTTGGATGCCCATAAAAAATTCCCCTAAGAAATAAGGGAGACTCCCCAACCGCCCTTGCCAAAAGCTCTCCCAAAACCCCCGTCAATCCGCCATCAATAACCCAAGCCACATGGCCGCGAATTCTCTCACGCACATGAGTCATGGTCACGAGAAACGTCACAAAGATGGCTGACATAATGAATCAACCGATAAGACAAAGAGCCTCTGCAACCTATAATAACAATAAAAAAAACAAGGAAAAAACCGCTGAAAATAAAGTTATCCAAACCGACATCTTGTGGAATCATTTCAACGAGTTATTGGCGGTCTAGTACGTCTCGCCATGCGTCCAATATGGTGGCCCCAACGGGGCGCGCACGTGTCCGCACGCTCCACAACGTAAAATGGCCACGCGTCCATGAGTCTCCCTAAACCTCATCCTCTGGAAAAATCATAAAAAATTCTATCCAATAGATCGATTAAAGTTGGATACTCACCATCAGCCGGCTGCTGAAAATTCACGTAGGCATAACCAAGGGATCTCCGTGTGATGACGTCACGACAGACACGAATGGATAGTACAGGTCCAGCAGTTGAGAATTTCTCAAACAGCATAGCTTCGGTGATGTCCGACTGGAGATCACCAACGTAAAGTGAAGCCATTGGATAGTTTGGTGCACCTGGGTTCATTACTTTAATAAAATACGGTTTTTGAGGATTTCCTTTGTTGCTTGAATTTTTTTTTTTTACCAATCCTTTCGGGAGAATAAATGAAAGTTCTGCCTGAAGTTTAAATAAAAATGGCCTCGTCGCAAATGACTCTCAGCAATATGGCTTGGACTATCAAGCGCTGTTGAAGCTAAAGCTCTTCAGGGTGCTCCTCCTGTCGCCTCCTCAGCTTTCACTCGTCCTCTCAAAAAGCTTTTTGTCTACCAGAAAGCCTCGTCGTCGCACAACACACACGGCCTCTTTTTACGATTTTTTTTGGGTACTTTTTCTCTTTTTTTAGTATTTTATATTTTTTCTTACTTTTCTTCTCTTGTTCCCTGCCGCTTTCCTCGTTTATTTTACGGTTTTTTTTTCAAGAAACAAACGTATTTTGCTTCGCGCGATTGTTCACGTTACCTACGGTTTTTCGATTTTTTTTTATTTTAATGGTTTTTACGTATTTTTGTGGATTTTTTTAAAATTTTTGGTAGGTTTTTAGGTTTTTTTAGTTTTTTTGTTTTTTTTTTGTTTTTATAACTTTTTAAAGAGTTATTTCACGAATGGAGGTGGGTTGTGTGACCTATTTTAGTGGTAAAAAGGAGACACAACCACACGTGAACACAACTCTACTCTTAATGAGGAAGAGGCGGTGAAAGTAGTGCATGCGAGGCTTATATATGTGCCGTGTTGCGCAGTTAATGCGCCTTTGAAACTAGTTCCAACGGTCGACAACGTTGCGAGTATTAGTGACACCCCAACAGTTTACGTTCAAATTTTGTGACGTCACATCCTCAATTTACGGCTTTTGTTACCTTTTTTAGCTGTCAAATTGGTAAAGGATTGAAATCATCTGCACTAAATCTTAAATTATATTTTTATAATTTCCGTCATTACGTTTCTTTTGTTTTTCGAGGCCCTTTGAGGCCTTCAATTGCTTTTTTCGTCGATGACGCGCGGAAAGGAACAATTGACAGTCGCCTGTTTTATCGACAGAGTTGAGTTTTAATTTTCGAGTGCGAGGGCGCTGCATGTTTTTTGGTCTTCTAACCCCACAAATTCGGGATTTTTCACTCAATTTTGAAGTATTGTCGGGGTTCTTCTACGACTGATAAATAATCAGCAATGGCCACCAGAAGACCGAATTTTATACTCAGTAAGTATTCTTTGAATGATGATTTGTGAATTGTTTGTTTGTGCGCAATTGTCGTCGGATTTTTGGCTGAGGAGCGCTTACATAACTTGTCACTGTGTTTCAGACTCTAGCTGGAAACAATGGGCTTATAATTTGTCGCGTTTCAATCAGTATGGTAAGTAATTAATTTGGAAGTAGGGGAGGTTGGGGTAAAACGGACACTTTTGACTTTTTTTTAAAAATGTTAATGAGGGGTTGAAATGTTGATGAAATTTAATAATTTTTTTTCTGTACAAAGAACAATTATTTCCCTTTGTGACGAGCCTAAACTGAGCTCAATTGATAAATTTGTTTCTGAGTTATGAATAATTTTAAAAAAGTCTCAAGTGTCCATTTTACCCCTCCGTCCCCTAAAGAAATCAATAACAAAGTGGTAAAATGGGATGAACAACTTGAGTTCAGAAAGTCGAGCTTTTGGTGGATATAGGGAAATGTGGGGTAAAATGGTCACATTTTACTTTTTTAAAAATATTCATAAGTCAGAAACAGATTTGTCAAGTGTCCATTTTACCCCACCCTCCCCTATTCCAATGTGAAGCGGATTCAGAGAGTCTTGTAGAAATCATTCCTGTAGTTCATACATTGAACTAATGAAATTGACAAACTGGCAAATTGACAAATTTGATTTTGAGTTATAAATTTTGAAAGAAAGGCCAAAAGTATCCATTTCCCTCCACCCACCGCTCAACTTAGAATGCCCAAGGAGCACAATTTCGATAGTAATCTTTTAGATATACAAAGAAGCGTTCTGATGCCTATGCAAAATGTCATCTTTTGGAAGATTGTCATTAGAGATGCAAAATGATCGTCATTTTTTAGATCGCGTCATATGACCAAAAAATGACGGTCATGTGACGCACAAATTTTCCAACTACAAATGATTGTCACAAATCATTTGTAACCAAATTGTTGTCAAACCATCTATATAGTTGCATAATGACGGTCATAACTGATTTCCAATTTGTGACGGTCATAAATAAAACAAAATAGTTTCATCGATATGGATGGAAAAAAAACGTGATTTCCATTTCAAAATGCGGATTAGGCGAATGCAAAAGGAATTCAACTGGAAATCGACCGAGAAAAAAATAAAGTTTCATCTACATAGATGAAAAATGACTGTCATTTTTTCTTGACGAGTTGTGACGGTCACAGAAGGGGGAGGGGGAATTGTGACAGCCGTCATGAACGCCTCGTCATGTGACCGTCATATGACGGGTCATGTGACGCATTTGCATCTCTAATTGTCATAATAATTTTTTGAAACCCCTAAATTCATCTTCATGACAAATTTTTTTATTCGAATTTTCAATACGAGATTTTTCATTCTCGATCATTTTTAATTTTGAATTTTTCGGTTTAAACAAGACTTGTTTGATAAGATGTTTCTTCTTCTCTCAGTACAAGATTGTAGAATTGGACTGCGAAAGCCGGCTCCATGAAAGTTTAATTATTTCCCTTGAAGGGATCTAAAGATCAAACTCGGAAAACAATTTTGGTACGAGCCATTCCAAATCTCCGACAATCGGCTCATTGTTAATCTAATGTTTCCACGGAAGTGACTCATCCTCGATTCACCACTTCACTAGTACATTAATGGATTCTATGAATTAAATTAAAGCTAGCTGTCAACTTTTTTGCAGGTTTGAGACATGATGATTGTCTTTATGAGACTCCAGAGGTGAAGGAGGCTCTTCGTCGTCTACCTGCTCACCTCGTCGACGAGCGCACCTTCCGCATAGTTCGGGCCATGCAGCTCAGCTGCAACAAAGTGGTTTTACCAAAGGAACAATGGACGAAATTCGAAGAAGTAAATAATCATGCCACACGTTAGAAATTCGCAAAGGGGGGTAAAACGAAATGAGTTATTGATTGATCCCCATTTATGATCTGCGGTTTTTAAAATATCCCGGATTTTAAAGGTGATAGCGAATTTTGCATAGTTAAAAAAATTCATTGTTTATTGTTCGTTTGCTCTGTAGACGCTTAAAGTCTTTAAAATAGTCCAGGGCCTCCAATCTTTGAGCTACAGAGGTTTTTTTTAAAAATCTTTGAAAAAGAATGTACAATAGCAATTACGAGTTAGTGTTTTGAACTTGGACTCTTACATAACTAATTTTTTTTTTATTTGAAAAAGTGCACTATTCATGTAAAATAGCCGGAAAAATTATCCTAAAAAATATTTTTTTAAAAGATTGAAAATATATTCTTGATTCTTTTAAAAACATTTTTCTGGCTGATTTACATGAATGATTAAATTTTTTATAAAAATATGAAATTTGCAGTGTAGAAGTCGAACTTCAAAAGACTAACCCGTAATTGTTATTGTACACATTTTTTAAAAGATTTTGAAAAAATAAAACATCTGTATTGTAAAGATTTTAGGTGTCTACGGGGCAAACGAACATCAAACAATTAATTTTTTTGCCCTAATTATTCGCATTTAGACATATATAATCGATCTTTGATGCATGAACGACCTAAGTAATCAATTGTCTGAGAGAGGGAATACGTTGAGTGCAACAAAAAAATTGGGCTACTGGGATATTCGCCTTAGGTACATAAATGAATCGTTTCGTTTTACCTCTCCGCTAATGCATTGAAGATATACTCAAGCACATTTTGTAATTTTGTTTCTCCTTTTAGGACACGCACTACCTGCGTCCCTACCTTGACGAAGTTCTGAAAGAGATCAAGGAGAAGAAGGACTGGGACAAACAATAAACTAATTTATAGAGTAATACTTAGAGAATTATCGAAATTGATGGCTACCTAATATCTTGATATCAGGAAGAAGTACTGTAAAGTTATCTTCAATATAAAAGTCACTGTACATACAAAAAATAATAATTATTTCACAAAATTTCCCTTCATTTGGAAGTATTCCAAATCTAATGAAACATAAATAAATACTATGGACAATGGCGATGGTATCTAAATGTCTCATCTAGCTGATCATAACATTCAGCAATCGTTGCAACAATCTCAAAATTGTTTTCATGAAGATCTCAACCAATCTCAAATGTTGATTAACACATCAGTAGGATGATCGTCAGGGCACCTGTTCCGGAATGTTTTATGTGCCGCCCCTTCAAAAGACTCGAAATGAATAACGAAAAAGTTGAATTATTAAGTAGGCAATTCATTAATGTCCCTCTTAAATTTTAATTATTGATGTAATCCTCAATTCAAATATTCAAATTCAGAAGTATTTATTAATCAGTAATTCAATTAGGACGATTGATGATTATTTGGATGATTGAAAATCCCTTATAAGAAATTTAGCATTATTCGCTTAATAGAAAATTTACAGTTCCATATTATTAAATATTTAGTTCGTCGTCAATTGGAAATTTAGATTATCAATTATTTTACTATGTTTTAATTTCATTTAGTGTATTTAAACCTTAATCAACCCGAGTCGGAAATTCTTTTTATATTGAAGAATCGGAAGATTGATGGCCATCCCTGGTTCTCTATTTGAATTCTAAAATGTCCCCTTTAATAAAGCCTTGTTTTTTCTCATAAGAATAACACGGGATTTTCATGGAAAATTCGAATCTATTTCCCCCCTCCCTGTTATGTCACTCAAAATTTTATAATCATGAAAAATTACTGAGTAAGTGAACTAGTTTGGTCGGATATTTTTCGATTTTTTGTTCACATCATATAACAGTGCAATCATTCTTATGGGAAAAAACGTGTTATTCTTATGGGAAAAACAAGGCTGTTGAGAGGTGTTTTAGAATTCAGTAGCGAAGTACAAGGCAAAAAAATGCAAAAATTGTTTTCTGGGATAATCAATGAATTATACATAATAGTAGAAAATGCTGTACAAAATAACCATCCGGAAGTACATTGCCAATTTATTAACAAAAATACCTACACTATATGCAATACAAGAGCAATTCCCCACTCGTTTGAAATTCATCTCGAGTCTTTTGAGGGGACCCCACGTCGAAAATTCCGGAACGCAATTTTTCTAATCCACATCGTACTAAACTCTGCCCGAGAAAAACCGGAACCCTTCTTTCCAAATTTGAAAATTTCAGCAATTCTATCATTCGGCACGTCTGTTCCACGAAAAATGTTTCCCTTGACGAAGTCCTTACAGCGTCATGAACCAGACATGTGTAAAGTAATTACAGATAATGATCAAAGGCTCTTAAAATAACTCCAATTTGCATCGGCCCCCAACAAAGACAGAAAACATCGGAACCCCCTGTCCACGTGGATATTCCCCCC